TGCAAGGTTAGTCCACAAGACATCATGACCCTTGCTTGCAGCAATACTTGTTAGTCTCCTTACCTGAAATGTTAGAGTCTGCAGCCTGAGATCATGTAGTATCATTTGGATTTGGCAGTACTGGGGAAAGAGACATGTCCCAAATCCTTTTGCTTTTTTGTTTTTTAAACAGTCTTTGCTTTTAATCAGCCAACCTTAGATGTCTTGTGCTACTTTTGCTTCCGCAGTAGCTGAGATTACAGCCATATGTACCATCAAGCCTAGCTCCCCCTCAGTCTTAAAACAAGCAACATTCCCCCCATATGTAACTATTTCATAGGGTCCTGGTAATAAAAATATATCGAATCATCCTACAATTTATAGTAACTGGTCATTTTTATGTTTCCTTAGCTAAGCCAAGAGATTAATTCAGAGGTCCCTGAAGGTCTCTGTTAAAAACATCCTTGGATCTTTTCAGAGTTGGGAATCAAATGTAGTAGTGAGAAAACAGGAGACAGGAAGTCACCAATTTCTATGGTCCTGCTGATAAAAGTAAGGCCTCTAATTTGCTTTGTTTTCAAGCTCTAACATCAATAACAAGTGAACCTTCCTAAGGACAGATGCTCTCTTTTTACTGGCTCAAATTCCAACTTCCCCCCCTCTTACATGCTGCTAGAAGCATCCTAGGGCAGGCTGTACAGTGAGCCAGGCCCTCTTTTACCTCCAGGAGACCAGAGTAGAGTAAATTCCTAGTGAGTTAATTCTTTCAATAACCAAGTGTACTCAGAGATACCCAGCTGTAAGCTTTTCCTTCTCCGATGTTTACTTTTGCCTTCCTGGAAAGGAAATGCATTCAGGGAGAACCATATTACCCAAAAGAAACATCACACTAAAGCTACAAAATTCAATGGTTCAGTAGAGCATGAGCTTTGAAATCAGATCTAAGGCCTGCTTCCTTCATTTATCCTATTGGACAAATACCTTACCTTTCTAAGATTTGATGAATGCAATATGTGAACTGCAGTAGTCACTTTCTCATAAATGCTCATCATGAGGATTAAATGATTGGACAGACTTACCTAATCTCACTTAGCACAGTGGCTGCTTCCATTATTCCCACACCAAACGCCCAGGCTAGGAATCCAGCCAGGTTCTGGTACAACCAGAACCTTTACTCTCACACCTGCACTGACATTCAAAAGGTTTCCTCTTTTCCTGAGGAACTAACCTGTACATTAAAACCGGAAATAGAATCTAAGGATTCAAGTTCCGATTTGTAAAAAGGAGTAAGAGGCAATTAGGGGAGGAACTTGCTACCTCTCCAGACTCACCCCCTTACTCAGCTGAGAGGGAAATCCAGGTTTACAGCCCTAGCTGTGCAATCCTCACAGCTGGTTCTTAAGCAGTGAACTTAAGGCACCTGGCTCTTAAACTCCAGAGGCCCTCCAGGCAGGTATTTGTAATGTAGGCCCGAGAAAAGCCCAGAACCAAGAAAAGTGATTGGTATACAGCGGGCACATCAACACCTGCGAAAAGCTACTCTGGCTCACTCAAACTTAAGTGGATGCACCTTCCTCTCCCATAGGAGGTAGGAAGTGTCAGAGCAAAAAAGTTCTAGGTTTAGTAGTTTGCACCCAAGCTTTGAGTTTTAAAAAAGAGAAGGAAAAAAAAAGACAAGGCCATGATCCCACACACAAGCTTTCAAGAGAAAAGGAGGACACTTCCGTGTGGGGTAGTTGTATTGTCCCCACCTCTGGTCCTCAGCCCCACCCGGACCTGAGGTCCTCCCGGGCCCCAGAGTTCCCGCCAGAGAGCTGGCCACTTCCTCTCCCCGCCCAGACCCACCTGGCACGCGCCTTCCTCCCTGCCGACCTCACTTCCTCCCCCAGACCTACAGGCCACCTGGCTGGGGGCGGACGCCATATTGCTCCACCTGCAGGGGGAATATCCGGCCCCTCCGATAGCCCTTCAACTCCTTTCACCCGGGCCTGCCGGCCTCCGCGTGGTCCCCTGCCATGGCCGGGAAGCTTCTCACAGCAGTTACGGCCGGAAGGGTTGTTCTCCAAACCCACGGCGGAGTTCCTGCTTGTCCTCATCCCCAGTTCCAGGCCTCTTCCCCACCTCACCCCCCGACTCCACCCAATACAGAGCCCACCAAACCTCCCAGGACCTGCCCTTCCCAGCCGCGGTTCCGAGGTCCCCCCTCGCCCTTCCCATCCTCTTACTTCGGGCTTTGTGCCCGGCTCAACGCCTGACTTAACGCCTGATCTCAACGTCCACCCACCAACGTCTGGACCTCCCCCCCCCCCCCCCAACGACCCGAGCCCTCGGCCCTGGGTCGCCTTCCTGCAGCCTGCCTCTCCTCCCAGGTTCCGGAGAAGCCCGATCTAGAAAGAGGCGAAAGCGCCACGGGCCCCTGACCTGTGTCTCTGGACGTCGGGCTGCGGTGGTGGCCTGGGCCTCGGCCTTGCCAGGACGTGCTGTCGCGCCCAGGGCTGTCTGGTGCTCACCTTGCTCCGGTGCCCAGCGACCCTTGCGGCTGCAGCCCTGCACTTGCGCCGTCCGCGCCCACGAGCGCCCGCGACGCCCACGTGCGCCCTCTGCGTGCGCCACGTCTGCCCCGCCCCCAGGGCGCCCCCCCCCTCCCCGCCTCCTGCTCAGTTATGGGGAGCAGGTGGTGCGGCTTCCGGACCCCTGAGTTCTTCCACGCGAGCTGCATGGAACTGTGTTTCCAATTCTCTTTAGCTCCCCGGGGAGCTCCGTGGCCGGCTGTGGTGCCCAGGTGGCCTTGGCTCTGCAGAAGGCATCTGGGGCACCTTAGCCACCGTGGGCTTTACCCAGTGAATCCACTGCCTCTGCCTGGGGCTGGGGACCGACTCAGAGTGATCAGTTCTGTCCAACGATTGAAGGTGGTGTTGGCTCCCTGCTTTTTTGTTTTTGTCGGTCGTGGGGCTTGAACTCGGCCTGGGTGCTGACCCTCAGCCCTATCGGCTCCACGTGAGTGCTCTACCATTTCAGCTTCAGCGCCACTTCCGGTTTTCTGATGGTTAATTGGAGCTGAGAGTCTCAAGGACATTCCTGCTCGGGCTGGCTTTGAACTGTGATCCTCAGATCTCAGCCTCCTGAGTCGCTAGGATTAGAGGTGAGCCACCAGCGTCTGGCTTCCCTGCTCTTTTTAACCTTTATCTATAGAACTCTCTAGACAATTTGCATTTGTCACCCAACTCATGGTCAATCTAAAGTTGCATTTTAGTCACTTTCTGCAATGTTTGGAAGCAAATCCTAGATTTTTTAAATAATAGTTTTAGAATTACAGAATAAATGGAGAAGAAAATAGAATTCCCACAATAAGGCACCATCAGCTTCTCCAAATAGTGTGATAGTATAATGTATTTCTTGTTTTCCTACACAATTAAAGTGGGGAGTTTGGATTTTGGTAGTCTTTCACCCCTCCCCCTCTTCCCCTCTTCGGATCCAGAGTCCCACATTACACTTGTCTCCTTGGGCTCAGATTGGCCTTCACAGTTTCTGATGACCTTGAGAACTTCCAAACAACTGGCCGGACATTTTGTAGGATGATCCCGTTAGAATATAGATTACTGGAAGGAAGACCACAGAGGCAAAAGGACATTTTCATTGTATCATATCAAGCATATATCTAATGAACATGACCAGTGACAACTGATGTCAGACCTAATCATCACTGAGGTAGTGTTTGTTAGAGTTCTCTACTATAAAGTTTTTCTTTCCACGTAGAAAATTTTTGAAAGATGCTACCATGCCACACCCACATGTGAACTGAATAAAAGCAACTTTCATATATTTCTTGCCACAAACTTATAATACAACCTTGTAGCTTTTCAGTTCAGGAACTATTTAAAAACCACAGTCTGGAAAATAGAGGTATTAGGTTAGGTTGGTTATTTTTCTAGGTCTTTTAAACGGGCTATAACCCCCCCCTCCCTCCCACCCAGGGCCTTGTCCATGTTAGGCAAATGTTCTAACCTACATCCCTGGCCTCAGACTTTTTAATGAAAATAATTGCACTATGAATTTATTGTGAAAATTGAAACACAGGATTTTAGGGTTTAATTTCTTTGATTTTTATGTGTGGATTTCTTTTCTCTATAAGTGAAAAGCTTGGCTCCCATAAATTTCACACCATGAGAGGGGCTGTTTTAAAGTCAAATCATTTATTTTGTCACAGGTATTCTAATGGCAAAATGTACCTTTAATATATTTGAGAAGTGCTATTTCCTGTTGAAAAGGATAATGTTGCATGTTGCTCCCCCTCTCCCCCCACCAGGGCAATTAGTATTAAAGAAGCATAAAGACAACTACTAAGCTTTGCTTCACAAACGATTGCATTGAAAACTCTTCCTAAGAGGATGTCTTAAGCTGAAAAAAGCACAGCATTGTTTCACTGCTCACTTTTCTTCTGCAGACTGGGCTGGGGAACTGCCTGTGATGCCCTTTTAAGTGGTCGTGCAGCTGGCTGGCATAGCCAGCCTGGATAAAGTCCGCTCAGCCCCCCAGGGGCTGGCTCAGGCCTTTGCAGGAGACCAACGCATCAACAGTTTATTATTAAACAATGGCAGTAGGTGCCACTCTGAGGATCCGAACTCGGGGGTGTTATGGAAACAGTTTGTCGGGCTGAACTGTCACATGGACAGGTAGGCTGCTCCTGTCCACTCCACTGGCCCGTCCACGTGAGGTCCAAAGTTTGCGCATCAGAGTTGGGAAGCCACCATTTCGAATTCTCTTTTATTGCTTTACGCTTCTGACTCATAGGAGAACCAGCCCAAAAGGTGAGGGAGACACCACCCAACCAGCACCCCTGTGGGTCGGGAAGGGTCGGGAGCTGTCGGACAAGTCTCGGGTCAGGTGGAGTGGAGACTGGTTGGCCAGGTCCCGAGGGGGCAATCCAGGTACGCGAGGCGCTGGGCGGGGCCTCCCGGGGCCGGGCTAGGCTAGAGGCGGGCTCAACGCAGGCTCCTCCCACTGCAGGCCGGTTACCTTGGACCTGAAGGTGCGTGGCGTCACGCCGCCCGCGCCGCGCTGATTGGCTCCTCCTTGGAGCCCCGCCCCCTCCGCTGTGGCCAAGCCGGCTTCAGCGTCGCCGCCATCTTTGTTGATGTGTCAGCTCCGCGGGGGTTTCGGGGGGAAGCTGCGGCGGCGCGCGAGGGGATCGGCCCGGATCTCCACCGCCTCCTCTCCTGCCTACACCTGATTTGGCGGAGCCCACCATGGAGAAGGTGGCCTGTGAACCGGAGCTCCAGCGGCCTCTTTAGGGTGCGGCCTGGGGCTTGGAGAAGTGGGGTGAGTGCGTGAGGGGCGTCGGGGTGGGGGGCCCGAGGGGCGGGAGTCCCCGCGTCCCCGGCCGTCCCAGCCCCGGGCCGGGGCGACTCGACCCTGTCTCCCCCTCCAGCTTCTCTGAGGGCGGCCGCCGGGGACGGGGTGAGGCCGGTGACCCGGACGAGGGTCGGGCCGGGCCGGGGGCTCGGAGGCCCGGGGAGGGCGGCGGCGGCGGGGGTCGGGCGCGCGGGCCGCGGGAGCCCCGGGTCCGGGCAGGTGCCCGGAGGTGCGCGGGCCGGCGGCAGCCGTGCGCCGCCGGCCGGGGATCGTCCCTGGACCCCGTCGCGGGTCCACGTCGGTGTGTGTTCCGTGTTTACCGTGGTGACTTCCTGGCCCCCGCCAGACACTTCGTCCCCAGCGCCTCCCGGGTCCGGAGAAGCGGCCCTCGGCGGGTGCGGAGCAGAGACCCGCGGCTCTTTGTTTTTATGTTGCCTTTGGAACCCCGGACCCGCGGCATGTCCTCAGCCCTTGGTGATGGGGAGTTTCAAGTGTGACTCTCTTCCAGTGGAACGAGGAAAAAGGAAAAAAGGTTTCTGTTTTAATCCCCCCCAATTAAACACAGCTCCTCGAAGTGCGCCCGAGCAGCCGTCCCGGGACCCGAGCTGGAGGAGTTAGGCTGGGCCAGCTGTTGACCGACCTTGCAACTTCCCGCAAATCTTCACATCTTGATTTTTTATTTCGAGGAAGATACCTGGATTTGAAGTCAGAGCAAGAATTGGGACTAGAAGCCCGCGTCGTTCACTGGTTAGTCTTGCTGCCCACGAGAACCTGAAGAGTTCATCGTAAAAACAAAAAAAAAGATAGGGGGGATAGCGCTTAGCATTTGGTGGTTTTTACTCTGCATGTGTGTCCTGCTCGTTGATGCCCAGCTTATTTGTACCGAAAACTAGGCAGGCGCGGGGTTTTTCTAAGGAAACTGTGTGGTAAAAGAGTGGAACGATATTGCATAGAGGCGTGCTATAGTGATTTAAAAAAATGATTTAGATACATTGTGGGTGCGGCCTTTCCCGGTACTAAACTACCCTCATAATTGCAGAGCTTCGATCTTGTGAAAAAGATTGAAGTTCAGTAGGCATTGATAGCAAAACGGCAAAGTATCCCAGAATAAAGTCCACTGTTTCCTTTGCAGCCAACTTTTCTGTGTTTAGCCATCTCGTACGCAAATTTTAAGAAATGGATTGACCTACTTTTTGTTTTTTAATCCTTTCATGTTATTTTAATTTGGCTGATGATACTGGTTTATTCACAAATTTAGCAGTATTAGGAGTACACATTCCTTTTCTCCAATGTAATAGGGAAGAATGTAAAATTATGGAAGAACCTCCCAGAAGATGCTTGGATTATTTATACTTTTTAAAGGACTAGTCTAATTCAGAATAATCGCATGTAAACTTAAAGCTTCTTTTGATGGTAGAGATTCAACAGCAAGTCATTGCCATTTCCAAGTCTATTTTGTGCTGACTGAAAGGAGTGATTATGTTGTAGTGTAGTGACCACACTGTAAACTTTTAGTTTCTTCACTTATAAACTGAAGAATTGCCTTTTGATGCTGTTCAGCAACAGCGTGACTGATGATAATTGTTTAGTGTATTCAGTTTTAAAAATCCATTTATAGCTACCTGCCGATGAGTAATGATGTGTGTACTCTTAGGGAAGAGATGATAGGTTGAAGCATGAAACAAGCACATTTAGAGCATCATTTTTCCCTTTAAAGAATAACCAATAAGCTAGCCTGGTTTATCGAACCGTAAGAGTCATTAACCAGAAGTTCTGTTTTTTTTCTTTTGGTTAAATTTGAGTTTTTTTTTTTCCATAGGCTTTTGCTTTGACTCCTTTTTTTTTTTTGTTCACTCTATTTTTAACAAAAACTAATTCTTGAACTTTTCATAAAGATATCACTTGGTTTACAATAGTTAAATGTTATATTGAGTATTTCTTTTAGGGGAAACAGTAGGATAGATAATTTGAATCTACAAATGATTGTCTAATCTTACATTGCTTCATTCTTCTCATTTGAACATTTTTGAGCTCCAATTAAAAATTTTGATTTGGGCTAAGAAGTAAAAAAAGAATAACTGAGGTGAAGGTTCCCTAAAAACCAAGAATGAATGGACCCCAACACAACACTGGCTGGATTATGAGTGTATTTCATAATAACATACCCATCATTAAGACATGTGAGCTGAGAGTCTTCTATAGAATTATGTAGTAAGTGCTAATAATGGTTGTCTAAACTACATCATACCAAGTTAACCAAAGCCAGGCCAAAGTTGACATCCAAATTTAAGCATTAACTGAAACTTTTTTGTTTAAAGCAGACCAGCAACTCTTATTTTGTATCTGTGGGAGTTTGGGGGTGTCAAAATTTTTTATTTTTTCAGATTTGGAAGAAAATGTAGATGGGAGTGCAATTCATATTTTATTAAACACACTGAGACATAAAATTGCGTGTATCTAAATTTACTGATAGTACAACATCTATAACTTGATAATGTGATATATGACATGGCCTTGTAAATCCTAGGCAAGCACACTTCCACTGAGGTACATCCCCAGCCATCTTGGAATCTTGGTGAATTGCAATTTCTCTTTTTCCTTTATCTTGTTACAGAAGTAAGTAGTTTCATCTATTGCCCCAAGCCTTTTAATAACCATTGGTGTGGGAGGGTGTGGGGAGTTCATGCATACCAGTGTACATAGCGTACAGTTCTGTACAGGAGACTTGATACAAAGCTAAACAATCCCCTCATAGGGATAATTGACCTTAACCTCATATATTTTCTGACTGGTGAGCTTTATTCTAGTTTAGGTTTCACTTAAAAGTAACTCAGTATATTAAATTTAGAATTTCTCCAAAGCTTACTTAGGATGTAACAACTGTACTTTAAAAATATTGTTTGCATTTTGTAGAACAAATGCAGAGTTTCTTTAAGCAGTTTTTATCTTTTAAAAGTAAAATTTGGTCTGCATACCTTCACCTTATTTGAACCTTAATTGTCAGATGTCTTCAACATGGGAAACATGAAAAAAAATGATTACAATATTTAAATGTTTTATATGTAGTATACATTTTAGAGCATTAGTGGGATAATTTAAATCTACAAATGATCTTCTAATCTTACATTGCTTAAAACTTCACTCTGAACTTTTTCAGCTGAGATTGAAAATTTTTGTTTGTGCTAAAGTAAACAAGAGGAAAAATAATTGGGGTAAATTGGCAGATACCAAGAGGAAACGAACCCCATAATAGTATGGACTGGATGTGTATGTGTAACCATAGGTTCTATTTACAAAAAAACGCAAAAACCTTTATTCAGGAAAATTAATCTTTTAAAATTAATGGTTGAGGGGCTGGGAAGGTGGCTCAGTGGTAGAGCGTTTGCCTTGCATGCTCGAGGCCCTGGGTTCGATTCCGCAGCACCACATAAGCAAAAAGAAAAAAGCTGGAAGTGGCGCTGTGGCTCAAGTGGTAGAGCGCTAGCCTTGAGCTGAAGAGCTGAGGGACAGTGCCCAGGCCCAGAGTTCAGGCCCCACGACTGGACCAAAAAAAAAAAAAAAAAAAATTAATGGTTGAGAACACACTCGGGATTAAATGAATGCTTTTTTTTGTTTGTTTGTTTTTCTTTGATTTTAATTGGCCTCAACTGTGTTAAAATTGATCAGAAATGTAAGTTACTCTTTATGCTACTTTCAAAGTATATTTGGGAAATATGTATCACATTTTTTGTTACAGACTTTACAGAAAACCCTTATGAGAACAGCAGGAATCTAAAAAGCTTAATTTTCTTAATAGATGTTGTTAGAGAAGTCTGTGGTGGGCATTGTTGGGAATAGGAATGGTATATAATTTAAAAATTTGTACTTCACTGTAAAAAGTATTTATGCTTAACTTAGGTTTCTCAATTGGATTTTTTCCCATAATTTCTGATGAAATACTGACAGACCTTAAAATAATGTAATGTTAAAATACTTTATGAGCTAAAATACAAAGAGTAAAAGATTTAACACAAGAGACTATGTATTGGTCTATTGCACCTCCGGTGTGCACCACAAGGATTATTTTTATTGTTTACTGACATTTTTCTAACACTTAAAACAATTTCCATAGTAGATGGTCAGTGTTTTTAAGGTAATGAATTAGTTCTTTGGAGTTATTTTTGAGTTGGTACCTTGAGAACCTGTTACCAAATATCTGCAGTTTAGATTGAATTGTATTTGCAGTTTATTGGGTAAGATTAAGTTCTTTGTTCACAGTATGAATCAGTGGAGAACAGGAGCTAGAACCAAAATTGATTAGAAAATGCTTTTTGTATGAAAATAATTTTGTAGGGTTTTTTTGGTTTGTTTTTAAGAAATGCACTTGTGTGCAGGTGACTGACACCTGTAATCCTAGCTGCTTAGGAAGATCAGATCTGAAAGATCTTAGTTGGGCAGAAAAGCCCTCAAAACTTTTCATCTCAAATTAAGCAACAAAAAGCAGAGTGGAAAGTGTAACTTAAGTGATAGAATGGTAGCCTAGCAGGTAAACTGAGCTAGCTCAAAGTTCTCAGTTCAGGCCCTGTACCAACCAGTCCTCCCTACCCTCACCCCCATCCCCCTGCCCCCCTCCCAAAAAAAAAGAAAAAAAGAAATGTAGGGGAATGAGTTCATGATTGGCTTTGAGGTAAATAAAAAATTGTTTCTTGACCAGTTACCTACAGCTGATGAGCTCCAGTAAGAGCGAAACCAGTTCTCACCTGTTGAAATAATTTTGAAGTGTGAATTGGTCCTGTAGTACTGTGTCAGAAACGGAAACAATTGAGAATAAAAGAGGTTTCACTTAATAATTTTGTGGCTAATATTCTATTTGTCAGTTCTGGGGCTTAAACTTAGGGCCTGAATGCTGTTCCTGAGCTCTATTTTCTTAAGGCTAGCATCACTTTAAGCCACTGCTTGGAGTTTTCTGGTAGTTAATTGGAGATAAGAGTTACAGACATCCCTGCCGGACTGGCTTTGAACCAAGATCCTCAGATCTCAGCTTCCTCAGTAGCTAGGTGCCACCAGCACCCAGCTATATGACTAATACTTTAAATACAGTATTTCTCCTAATGCATAAATAAGTTTTACTAAAAGATCAGAATTAACTTTTTTTTTTAACCTCAGTCATTTATACTGTAATCTATGATTTTGATTTATGTATATATTTATATACACACATATATCTGTGATTGTGAATTTGAATGGTACAAACACTTCTTCAAACTATTTGTAAACAAATCTCTCGTTTTACCTGCCCTCTTAGTCTACTGCTAGGCTCTTCTGTTCCCAGTAGCATTTGATGACAACTCTTCTTCCCAAAAGAAAAAACTTGGACAGCATCCAAATTGGTGTACATCAGCATTACCAACTGGAGACCTGTAGAACTCAGTTGATCTCAGTTTCTCCTAGATAATTGTGGACATGATTAAGCTTACCACATTGTTTTTGTCTGTTACCATACCATTCTTGTGTAGTTATTTGTATATACAGACATGAATCTTTGCTAATCTTTCTTTTTTGGTCTCCAGTTTGTACTCATTTGAACATCAAACAACTAAATTTGTAAGCTGAAGAAACCAATTTATATGATGATGTTTTCAAAAGTTATGGGTGTATTACTTAGAGAAGTTATAGAAAATACTTGGCATACAGGATATTTGAAACTGATTTTTAGTCTAGGTAATTAAATACATACAGGTATTCTTTACCTAGATGAATGTCCATAGGATGTGAAACACACTTTTGCTATTCTGTATTGTCTTGCTCACTAAACTTACTTAATCCACTAAATGCTGTTTGGCTGAAGGTGGTTGGCTGAGCAAACCCCAGTGGTTCCTTTCACCATTGGTATGGAATAGCACTTGCAAAAATAAGGGCAAATTGCTACTATCTGCTCATTCCATTTTGGCCTGCTTTGGGCTCATCTTTTATTGGTATGCTATACACTAGTTATGATGTTTATAACCACTTCATTTTCAAGCTGGGCGCCAGTGGCTCATGCCTGTAATCCTTGCTACTGAGGAGGCTGAGACCTGAGGATTGCGGTTCAATCAGCCTAGTCAGGAAAGTCTGTGAGACTCTTATCTCCAATAAACCACCTGAAAACTGGAAGTGGCACTGTGACTCAAGTAGTAAAGTGCTAGCCTTGAGCTGAAAAGCTGAGGGACAGCACCCAAGCCCAGAGTTCAAGGCTCACAACCAACCAAAAAAAAAAATGTATGTACATATATATATATATATATATTCACTTTATTTTTTAGATATGTTTCTAAATTGGTAAGGTTTTAAATTCAACAACACACTCATAAGATGTATCTGGTTTTGGAAGCAGAGATTAAACTCAGGCCTATGCATCCTAGCCAAGAGCTTTCTGTCTCCTGAGCTATGTCCCCAGTTTATAAGTGAATCACTTTAAGTAAGTTAATGTGGCTGGCCAATGTCCTTGTCATTTTATTTTGTCCCGGATTTTGGGATATAACATGCTTCACAAAGTTTTCCACTGCTTAGTGTATTTATTGTTAGTCTAAACCAAGCCTTTAATACTATAGTGGGCATTGGTTTGGTTATAAAATACAAGTATCATGACAATGTAGTTTTTGACTTTTTGGAAATTAATTATACAGATAAGAAGTTTAGATTACCAATACTCTATAAACTAAACTAATTGAAGCCCCAAAAGGCAGCTTAAACTAACAGGAAAGGGTATTTAACAGACAAGTCTTTTCCATTCTTAAAATTATTCCTCCAATTTCCCATATTCCTCAGGTAATTGGTTAAAAAATCATTTCTATGCTTATAGGCTTTATTTTTATTGTAAAGGTGATGTACAGAGGGGTTACAATTACATAAGTAAGGTAATGAGTATATTTCTTATGGAACGTTGTTACTCCCTTGTTTTCTCCCACTTTGCCTCCCATTTATAGGCTTTAATTTAAAAAAAAATCTGAGATCCTACTATGTTGCAGAAAAACTCCTGTAGTACAAATCAAGTGTACAAGAAGGATGATTTATAATTTCTTCTTAACAAAATCTACTCCTGCTTAGAAGGATTTTCGGGATTCTACCTGACCAGTCTTACTATTTCATCCTCTGACCACCACCTCTACCACAGACCTGTGTAGTGTTTACAGCAGTCTTTTGTCCTCATAGAGCTATTTAGTATTTATTTTTTTCTACTCCCATCTGGAATTACTGTTTTCCTACTTTCTGTCAAAACTTATCTCCTCAGTTTTTAATATAACCATAGTTTGACATTAGTAATTCATCCACCTTTGTGTATGCTTTGTTGGTAGCTGACAAAAGAAGTTGACAATTCTATTAAAAACCAGTGAAAGATTTCATATTTACCTAAGTGTAAAATTTGAAGTTAACTAATCTTCACCAAGTAGCCATGGGATACGAACCTTTTGTAAAGAATATAAAAACAATAACCATGTCATATTAATTTTAATGCTTCTGTTGACCTAGGCAAGTAACCTATGGGCTCCATTTGATTTGCAATGATCATAGTTTTAGTTCTGATGAGAATGATTGAAGGAAAAGAAAAAAAACAAAATAGGTTGCTTCATGTATCTTTACCTGGATGAAAATTAATTTCTACCAAGGATCCATTAAAAGCTCTGGGTTATAGGTAGTTGTGTCTTGCTTATTATTGCATCTTCCCACCCCATAAGCATTGAGATTGAACCCATAATCTCTCACCTACTAGGCAAGCACTCTACCACTTTGAGCTACATCCCCAGCTCTTTTATTTTTCTTTTGTTTTTGAAGCAGATTCTTGCTACCTATTTCCCAGATGACCTTTAACTTGAAATCCTCCTGCCTATGCCTTCTAAATAGCTGGAATTACAGGCATATAACTGGCACTGGCTTGTGATTGTTTTTGTTTAAATTTCTTTCTGAGTAAATTTTGATTATCACTGATGTGTATTGTTTTGTTATCTTGGTTTTTCTTCTAGTGCATTCATTGCTGTCTTTTTTTCTTTACCATTGTCTTACAGATCTTACATTACAGTAGTCTTTTCCTCTTGTAGACCTAAAGGAACTCTAGCTATTATTTAGTTCTCTTTCTCCAGTTAAAAGTATTATTTCTTACCTATCACTTTGAGAAAATTACTGAGAAAAGCCAGATTTAACAGAAAGTGATCAGAGAAGTTGGATGACTGAAAAGTAGAGGAAAAGACATTAAGATTTGGCAATGACACACTGGTTGTAGCTACTTGGGTTGGCTGTCCTATACTTCATTGTTAAAGGAAGATTTTTATTAAAAGAATTATTACTGTGTTGAAAATGAACTATACAACTTGCTGGTGGGGATGGGAAGGAAAACCTGGGAGAGCGAGGGAAGGGGTGACACTATCAAAAAAAAATGTGCTCTGTATCTGACTTAACTGTAGTCCCTCTGTATATCACCTTTATAATAACAACAAAAAATGACAATTAAGAAAAAAGAATTATTAGTGGTAAAATTATAGTCTTGGCTATTCCATGTCAAATAGTGTGTAAAGATGTCTAGGGTCTTTTTTTTTTTAATGGTGATGTTTTGATTTCTTAGATGTAAAACGAAGATCAGGAGCAGATTTGAAGAAATGCAAAGTGAGTTGGAGCCAGTCAGCATGTCAGAGACAGAGCACGGAACATCCATTTCCTCTGATACACATGTTGGAAAAGCATCTGAACTAAAAGAAGACTCAGGCAACTCATTTTCTGGTGATGATGAAAGCAACAGATTGGAAAATGAATTCAAACTATTGTCACTAAACTTGGACAAAATTTTGCACCAACCTCATGAACACAGTAATCAAGTTGAAGTACAAGAAAATTGTATTCTAGATCATAGTAGAGATGAAGATTCTTGTACTAAAGCAGACACATGCCCAGAAAATTCTGAACAAATAGATAACTTCCCTAGTGGAGATTTTGTAAAGCAAGTACCAAAAACAAGTGAAACAGAGCAGACAGTAACACAAATATTGGCAGAATTAAGGTCATCTACATTTACAGAAGCTGCTAATCAAAAGACTTATTCAGCAAGCCCCTATGATACAGACTGCACTAAAAAACTTATTTCAAAAATAAAGAATGTTTCAGCCTCAGAGGACTTGTTGGAAGAATTAGAATCTGAGCTCTTATCTACAGAGTTTGCAGAAGAACACCAAGTGCCAAATGGAATGAATAAAGGAGAGCATGCATTAGTTCTTTTTGAAAAATGTGTACAAGATAAATATTTGCAGCAAGAATACACGATAAAAAAGTAAGTTTTATTTCATTAGCAATTTTTCCCCCATAGGGATATTAGAGATTAAATTCCTTTAAGGAAAGTCACATCTCAGCTACTTTTAATTCCCACAGTAGAGCTGTGAACGTGTGGTTCATCAATAAAAATAATAATTGAGCAAATGTCTGTATGTTTTTGTAGTTAATGTAGTATATGTCTTAAAAAATGCTGCAAGTAATGTAATTTTTTAAAGAGTTAAAAGTCTCTATATAGGAAGGGGAAACAAAGGAAGAGGCTACAATGCTTGATAAGAAATGTACTCATTATCTTGCCCATATAATTGTAACCCCTCTGTACAGTATTTTCACAATTAAAAAAAAAGTCTCTATATAGAACTCAGTCTTGGATTTTTGAAAAAAATGTGGAAGTATAATTAGAAATTATAAAACAATGTTTTTGTTTTTCGGTTGTAGGGCTTGAACTCTGGGCCTGGGCGCCTGTCCCTGAGCTGTTCAGCTCAAGGCGAGCGCTCTATCACTTGAGCCACAGCCCTCCTTCAGTTTTGTAGTGATTTATTGGAGATCAGAGTCTCACGGACTTTTCTGCCCATGTTGGCTTTGAACCATGATCCTTAGATCTCAGCCTCCTGAGTAGCTAGGATTACAGGTGTGAGCCACCGGCTCACCTAAACTTTTTAAAATTAGGAAATATGTATGAAAAAAAAGGAGATCTACATGTAAAAAAGGATAGAAGAAAATCGCCAAATATTAATTGATAGGAAATTAACATTTCATGATCACCCTTTTTCTAGTCTTTGAGATTATTCTATTCATTCAATCAGTTGTTCCTAGTTCAGCTCACAACTCTTTATTGCTTTATCCAGTGAACTTTTAATCTCTTTAAGTGTCCAGGGGTCCCTTCTTTTATATTTCTAGTTCTATATACATATTTTTAGTTTTGATAAAAATAATAAAGTACACATAACATAACATTTACTATTTTAACCACTTGAGTGTATAGTTCAGTAGTGTTATGTATGGTCACATTAGTGAACAATCACCAGAACTTTCACTTTGTAAATCTAAAACCTTGTACCCATTAAACAACCCTTTCCTGTTCGTTTCTACCTTTCCCTAGCAGCCACTGAGTTGCACTGTTCTATAAATGTGACTACTCTTGATAACTTCATGTAAGTGGAATCATATGGTACTTGTTTTTTTATAATGTATATTTCAATTTACATAATGTCCTTGGTGTTTATCCATGCTATAGTATGTGTGAGAATTTGCATAAGGGCTGAATAATATTTTTTATGGAGCTATACCTCCAGCCTTTCTATGGTTTTTATAAACTATCAGCACCATAATATACTTTAGATACCAGAATTTACTCATCGTACACTTGGAGAAACATCTTTCCATATCCTCCATTTATTGTTCATGGCTGCCACTGTTCCATTGTGTTTCTACTCCCCTACTTTCTAACATCAGTGCTATCATCCAAGGCCCAGACAGAATCCTTAATTAAGAACAATTATCTGGCCGGGCGCTGGTGGCTCACGCCTGTAATCCTAGCTACTCAGGAGGCTGAGATCTGAGGATCGCGGTTCAAAGCCAGCCCGGGCAAGAAAGACCCTGAGACTCCTATCTCCAATAAACCACCAGAAAACCGTAAGTGGCGCTGTAGCTCAAGTGGTAGAGCGCTCGCCTTGAGCTGAAGAGCTGAGGGACAGCGCCCAGGCCCAGAGTTCAAGCCCCACGACCGACAAAAAAAAAAAAAAAAAAAAAGAACAATTATCTGATAGTATGTGGCATGTAAGAACAATTTTAGCTGGGCACCACTGGCTGGCACCTGTAATCCTAGCTACTCAGGATCTGAGGATCGTGGTTCAAACCCAGCCTGTGCAGGAAAGTCTGTGAGACTCATCTCCAGTTAACCACCACAAAACTGAAAATGGCGCTGTGACTCAAAGCGTTCTCCACCACAAGTCTCAAGAAAAAAGAAAAAAAAAAGCTCATGGACCAGGCCCTGACTCCAAGCCCCATAATGACCCCCAAAAAAAGAACAATTTTGAGCTGAGTGCGTAACTCAGTGTAAAGTGCTTAACCAGAGAATGTTTTGTAAAATATCTGATGTGTGAAGCAATGAGATGACTATTTTCTGAGCTACTTTTTCTTCTATGGACAGAATTAGCATTCTAGTCTTAGAAGTATAGTCACTAGAGGTAGTATATAGTCCCTAGTTCTGAGAAATAACATCATTATTAAGCGACTTTTGTACTGCGGACAAATTTTATTATAAAAATATTAGGAATGTTGGCTTACTATAATCATAGGTATTTGCTTCATACTTTGTAAGTGGATTAAATATCTTAATTATCTCCAATTTTAATGATATTTTATTGCCTTTCATATTAAGGTTAATTAAAGAAAATAAGAAGCATCAGGATCTCATCTTAGACATTTGTTCAGAAAAAGACAATTTAAGAGAAGAACTAAAAAAAAGAACAGAAACGGAGAAGCAGCATATGAGCACAATTAAACAGGTAAAAAGATAAAACCGTCAAGACTAAACTTCAATTTATAAAATAAATATATTCCTGAAAAGTTGTGTATAAATTGAAGTTCTGAAAGTTAAATTATGTCTTGAATACAGAGAATTGGTTGGTATTTAAAACATTCTATGAAATTGAAATTTTAGCTTTACTTTCTTTTATGTAAATTCTTACTTTTGTGATGTATGTGAGTATTCTGAATATAATAAAACATAGTTTACGGTGTTCAGAATAATAAAAGTGATAATTTGATTTGTAGTTAGATTATTTTTACCAATTAGGGGAAGACACAATGTTTAAAAGTTTATATCTACATTAGGATATATTTATGCTTACAGTTTAGTGTGGCTCCATTTCTGGTATTTTCATAAACTACACTGAAAATTGGCTCTTATAATTTATATTACATCTAGCTAATTGGCTTCCTGTATTGTTCTTCCTTCCTTTTAAAGAACATAAAGCATTGATCAATGAAGTAAATATTTGGGCTTACTACCAACATGGAGCCCCTATCTGTGTGAGGTGCTTTGTGAACAGATTAGAAGCATTCTAGCCTTAAATTATTATGATTTAGTGGGGAGGACATGTTCTGAGAAATGCATCATTAGGTGATTTCTACTGTGTGTGAATATCACACAGGATTCATTTCTAATTTCTATTCATTTCTATTTCTAATTTTCCATTTCTTCCTTCATTTCCATCAGATTTGTTTGTTTAAGACAGTCTTAGTGTGTAGCTCAGGCTGGTCTGGAACTCCCAATCCTCTGCTTCAGCCTCTTCTGAGTGCTGAGATTACTGGTGTGAACCACCATGCACAGTTTATCATTGGGGAGTGTGTGTGTGTGTGTGTGTGTGTGTGTGTGTGTGTGTGTGTGTGTGTGTGTGTGTGTGTGTGTGTGTGTGTGTGTGTGTGTGTGTGTGTGTGTGTGTGTGTGTATTTTATGTTTTTGATCTCACTATGGAGTGCAGGCTGCCTTCAACCCATAATCTTATTCTTCCTGCCTCTCAAGTACTACCTCTGATTGCAGCATGTAGGTGGGCTCTGTTTTGTTGTTGTTATTGTTGTTGGTTATAGAGCTTGAACTCAGGTCCTGAGTACTGTCCCTGTGCTTTTGTGCTCAAGGCTAGCGCTCTACCACTTTGAGCCACAGCTCTACTTCCATCTTTGGGGTAATTGGAGATAAGAGTCTCACAGACTTTCCTGCTTGGCCTGGCTTTGAACTGTGATCCTCAGATCTCAGCCACCTGAGCAGCTAGGATTACAGATGTGAGCCATCACTGCCTGCCTGGATTCTGTTTTTATTCCCTCTGTCACTTTCTCCTTTTGATATGATTACATAATTACTATCATGTGTTGATAGTTGGATTTGTATCTGCCATTTTGCTGTCTGTTTTCTGTATGTCTCTTTTATTATTCCCATATTCCTTTTGCTCTACTTTATTTAATACTAACCAGATATTTTCTAATGTAACATTTGAATTTTTTTAAGGTGCTTTCACTATGTTCCTTTGAGTTATCCCTTAGTGGATGCTTTAGGTCTTAACTATGTATCTACTTTACTGAATCACAATTTCTTTGGATTTATTGTAACTTTTTTTTCCCAATGAGATAAATACTGCTAACAATTTTGAATCCAGTGATTAAAGTATATTCATTACTTTCTTTACATTGTGTTCTGTTGAAATAGCTACAATAATAATTTATAATCTGGAAATAATTTTCTTTACAGTTAGAATCAAGAATAGAGGAACTTAATAAAGAAATTAAAGCTTCCAAAGATAAACTAGTAGCCCAAGACATTGCAGCTAAAAATGCAGTTCAGCAATTACACAAAGAGATGGCCCAACGGATGGAACAGGTATTTTTCATGTCTGTTAAAATTTGCCAACTTGATGACTCTCTTATTAAAATTAACTTAGACTATTTTGTTGTCAGTGGTATATTAAGAATAGATAAATTCAGTTATATAAATATCAACCATTAAAACGCTGAAGTAATACATAATATATTCAAGTCCTTCATTTATATTTCTTCCTCTGCCGCCAGTCTTTCATATGGTGCAAGCAGTGGGTCTTGCACCATAACTAATTATTGATATCTTGTTTATATGTTTATATCTTGAATATGCCAAGTTGCACATGCTTACATGTACATCTTTGAACTCGTCTGTTTTTTTGTTTTTGTTTTTGCTATAACAAATACCTGCGTTTGTGTATTCCATTAAAAAAAAAAAAAGCTTTCGGTTCTAGAAGTTCAACTCTTAGAGAGTAGTTCTGTTAGCTAGATTACCTCTGTCACATTTAGAGTGCCACATCTCATTCACTCTGCTAGTACTCTTGCTGGCTGAGCCCAGCTGGAAGTTGAAGGTAAGAGAATCTATTAATACGATCTATGATGATTATGTTCCTGGAACACAGGATAGGGCAGAAAAGAGTGAGAAACAGATCTGAAAGAGTAAGTGGAGTAACCGTAGCAACCGAAAGAAAGGGATAAAAGGAAATATTAAACCTGGCACCAGTGGCTCACTTCTGTAATCCTAGCTACTCAGGGGGTTGAGATAATGAGGATCTTTTTTTGAAGTCGGCTGGGACAGAAACATCTCTTGTTAACTAGCAAAAAGCCTGAACTGGAGGTATGTCTTGAGGTAGAATTATCAGCTGTGAGTAAGCAAGCCCCAAAAGAGCCTAAAGCCCAGAGTTCAAGGCCTGGGGGTAGGGAGATTGCTAGTGTTTTATCATTTTTCCATAATTTTGAAACTTCCTTTATTTCAAAATTTTATAGTGTCAGTTCTGGGAATGTTGAATTTCCCCTCCCCCAAAAAAATACAACAGAAAAAAAGGAAAAGAAACTTGATAGTATAGGAAAGTATGATTTATTTTAATAAATATTTATTTGAAAAATTTTTTTATTAATGTTCTTTTCTAAAGGCCAATAAGAAATGTGAAGAGGCACGCCAGGAAAAAGAAGCAATGGTAATGAAGTATGTAAGAGGTGAGAAGGAATCTTTAGACCTTCGAAAGGAAAAAGAGATACTTGAGAGAAAACTTAGAGATGCAAATAAAGAATTTGAGAAAAACACTAACAAAATTAAGCAGCTTTCTCAGGAGAAAGGACGCTTACAACAGCTGTATGAAGCAAAGGTATAACTTGTGCCAGTGTGCATTGTGTGAAGTTTATTTTCTATGCTTTTCCTTAATTAAATAATACTAAGATGGTTAAAACATTGAAACATAGTCATTTTTGTTAATTTGCCTACTAAGAACATGAATGTTTTAGGAATTGTAATATCTCATTAGTTGTCTAATGGAAGGGTTGCTAGGGAGAAGATGAAGTATTGACATGTTATAACTTTTTTTGATCGCTTAAAAATATACTCTAATGAATAAACAAGTGTGTGCCTTAAGACTACGTTTATTTTAGTAAAATATGTATATAGTAGTACCAAATTGTGAACAGTTTTAGAGTCAGAAGTATGTATAATAGGGTCAAAATCTTGCCTCTTGGGCTGGGAAGGTGGCTCAGTGGTAGAGCACTTGCCTTGCATGCTCGAGGCCCTGGGTTCGATTCCTCAGCACCACATAAGCAAAAAGAAAAAAGCAGAAGTGGCGCTGTGGCTCAAGTGGTAGAGTGTTAGCCTTGAGCTGAAGAGCTGAGGGACAGCGCCCGGGCCCAGAGTTCAGGCCCCACGACCGGACCCAAAAAAAAAAAAAAAATCTTGCCTCTTGTTTCTCTTTCTTAGTGGTGCTAGGAGTTCAACCCAAGGCCTCATACCTGATGGGCAGGTGCTCTGTTGCTGAGCTATAGCCCTAACCCTGGCCAGAATTAAAATTTTCTGCCTTCAATGGAGAACACATCTTTCTATGCTATCCTAGAAGATTAGCGAATTAACTATTCAGAACCCCCACTGTTAACATGCAATTCACAAATGCTATTACTCAGGAAGTCTAGCAAAACCAATTTAGTTCAAATTTCACTTTAATGCCAGACAGTTAAGAATCACAGAAGCATGCTTGTGGTTTAACATAATCTGGTTAAAATATAAGTGGTATGCAACATCTTTACATTGGATTTAGAATATTACTGCCCACTGGAACCTTAAATCAGTTTTATGGCTGGCAGGCCACAGTATAGCAGCCCTTGAATTGCAGTGTTATTGCACAGGAATCTATTGTTATTTTGAGGGGGGGTCTAAAGGATATACAGATGTTTAATTGATTGTTTATGTGAAAAATATGACCTGTTAATATTATTTTAGGAAGGCGAAACAACTAGACTCACCAGAGAAATAGACAGATTAAAGGAGGATATCAACTCTCACATCATTAAAGTAAAATGGGCACAAAATAAATTAAAAGCTGAAATGGATTCACACAAGGTGAGTACTATAACAATGGAAAGGTTAGAGTGAGTGTTAAGAGCAACACTATCAGGAGCCATGGAGCCTGCTTTAACTACTTCTGCGGAATAACTTGGATCTGAATATTGGACACTTATGAAAAACTATTTCATTGCATCGAACTTCATCCCCAGCTTGTAAATATCATTTTACTTAAATATATATATGAAATGAGAAGTTATTATAAAGGCTGGTACCTGATTATATAACTTTAAAACAAACTTACCTTGTATTGGAGGTAGTAAAAGTCTGCAGTTAATATGATGTAAAGTAAAAAAACAACTCTGAAATGTGACCTAAACTGAAGAGCAATTAGGGAAATAACAAGGTTTCAAAAATAAGCTATTACTATGGGTTACCTTACTACACAATTCCAAATCAATAGAGCTATTAATAACCTGTGGGTTGGTATCAGTTGAAACTAGTTAGGGAGTCAGTGTATCAGTAGTGGTCAATGGTAGGTTAAAGAATAGTAGATTCTTTCCATTCTGAAGCTCACTGATGACTGATCAGCACAGGTGTGTACTAGAGTTAGAGAAAGAACTGCCAGAAAGGGTTTAGAACTTTCCCTGTATTTTGGATTACAGAATGAGGAATTGAAATTCCAAATCTTTACAGACAGCGTCTAACTACTTAAGTTACTTTAAGATCTGAACATAATACTTGATCTAATATCCAATGTCTGTGGCTCTTTGCTTATCTTCATCTATTGTCCTCAGAGACAGAATTCTGAAACCTGTTGGAATATGAGTAATAGAGGAAAACTTAACAGATCTTTGAGGCTTGTGTGATTAAAGATTGGGTGATAATAGATTTTTAGTGGAAGCTTTGAAGTCTGATGAAATTAGATACTTGCTAAGTAGGTTAGAGAAGTAGTTTAAAGCAGACCTCTATACAGTTACATGGTATAGAATGTTAGAAAATGAAAATAGCAAACACTTTGCCTAGCAAGTGGAAATGAGAATGTATCAGTTCTTTTTATCTAAAGGTACTTAGTAACTATCAAACATTTAGCTCTGCCCATAGGAGACACAGTCATTGCCTACAGAGTGCCTGGAACAGGTCCCTGGTTACCTGTTCTGTGTGTTAATGTAGTGAATGGGAGAGAATCTTTGCAAGGATATGAGATATAATCATGATCTGGGCAATGGAAGCCGCCCCTTGAGAGGTGGGAAAGAGACATATGAACCTCAGTACATTTATCTGGGCTCAGCCCAAGTCTTAAGTACTAATCCCAGAGTTCTGTGGGTTACTGGATTCATAGTAAGCGTTAACTATCAGACATCCAGGCTGTATTACCAGAATTGAACTCTAGACTAGACTAGAAGACACTAGACACATACCTAGTTCATCAGATCATACGGTAGAAACTAATTATTCCATTTCCTTAAACTTCTTGGTGATTTAACTAAAATCTTTAACATCTAGCCTCTAAAATCAATTGTAGTGAATAAATAAGAGTGAAATACCTGAAGTATCAGATCGTCAATCTGGATACTATGTTTTTATCTGACTAGCGTCGGAATAAGATGATTTTACTGCAGCTTAGATAAATCTGGCAACAAATATGGTTGTGATCATATGGTAACATTGATTTGGCTGTGCTTGGTGCGTGCTAGATATTTCTGCCTGAGAGAAAGCTACAAGTGTAAAGTCTTGTAGATCAATGCTGCAATTATATCAGAGGATACGATAGACTTTAATACTTTGCAGGCCACTAAGGTCACCTAAAGCAAGACTGTCCTGCTTAATATGCTCTTTTCCCACTTACTGTGTTGTACACGGTGAATTTATTCTTAGTTTGTTTCCTCATAAGGCTTTCTAATTAGAAGTTCAAGCTTACTTTATATAAGTTTTGCTATTTCATTCCATTTAGTAAGCTATATTTTATATTTCTGTCATTGCTATACTCTATTCTTTTTTTCCTACAGTCTTATTATATTGTGAAATAACAAGGTCCAAATTTATCCTCCTACCATTAAAAAACAAAAACCTAAATACCTGAAACAGAAATTGAGAAGTTAAAAAAAGAAAAGACAGGAAGGAAGTGGTTTTGAGACTTGGGATTGTTGAGCACATATGACAGTGATTCTTGAGGGAAGAGACTCAAAAAGGTAGACTGTGAAGAGACTTCTAGGCTCAGACACAGGAGAGGATCCAAACCAGACTCCAGTGGTCTCCCTGATTTGAGGAGACAGGTCAGGGGGAAGAATGGGAGCAGGGAGGGAAGAGTTTGAGAAAAGAAAAAGGAGTAGAGCCAGTGATCTTTAGTGCTTATGCTGCTTGGGAACGGTTTGTATTTTCACCAGCCAAAGAGAAAAGACCTCAGTGCACAGGGCATCAAAAAGACCTCAGAAGGGTCATTGTGGGGACCAGTTACCCTTATACTAAGGTCTAAGATCCACCTTACACAGCTTTAAAATTGTTTGTTTCAAGTAAGTTAACTGTGTCCTGAAAGTCCAAAAAAAATTTTTTTTTTTTTTGGTCATGGGGCTTGAACTCTAGGCCTGGGTGCTGAGGTTCAGATCAAGGAGAACGTTTTATCACTTGAGCCACAGCGCCACTTCCAGTTTTCTCAGTGGTTTATTGGAGCTAAGAGTCTCTCAAACTTTCCTGCAGGAGCTGGCTTTGAACCATGTTCCTTAGATCTCAGCCTCCTGAGTAGCTAGGATTACAGACATGAGCCACTGGCCACCGGCTCCAAAAAATATTTTGATGAATGTATAACTTCACCTAAAAACATACAACTTACTGTTTGGCATCCAATGAAAAATTCCCAGCATACAAAGAAGCAAGAAAATACATAGTCCATAATGACAGAAAGGAATCATTAAAAACAGGTCCAGAAAGTAGAGGAGGATGTTAAAACAGCTATTGCTCAAGGAGATAAACAAAAGCCTAAGTATGGTGAGTAGAGCCATGGGAAATATATGTGAAAAAACAAGCTGATATGCCTCAGATGAAAAATTAGGTGAATTAACAGATACTGCAGACAAGATTAATGTACTTAAAAATAACAGCAGTGGAAAATTATATGACTCCAGATTTGTAACTTCTACCCAGAGCTGTAGATTCATATCTTCAACTCTGTACTTGATAAATAATCTCTTGAATGATTTATGCCATCTTAATATGTCTGAATTTGAACTGATAATGTGTTCTTTCCCTCCTTTGCCTCTCCATTGTGATAAATGTCAATCCATTAATAGTTGCTCAGTCCCCAAACCTTGTATTTATCCTTGATCTCTCAGTCATCATAGCCAACACTTCAACAAATCCCAGAGTTCATAGCTTTCAAGACTGCTTACCTATCACTTTTCTGAATGCTCAATGAGACATTTCTAGTCTACTCTGTCAATACCTCCTGCCCAGTCTTTCTCATGTGCTTGCTTTATTTTTATTCTTTGGTACTTGTCACTAGTATAATAAATAGTTCTTTTGCTTAGGTGTTTTATTTATTACTTAATTTCATCATTAGAATTTCGGCTCCATGAGCATAGTGATTTCGTCTTTTAATTTTCAGTCTGTTTCACTGGATTCCAGAAGGGAGCCTTATACATAGTAGGTGCTCAGTGATGACTGAGCAAATGCAGCATTGTCAGTTCCTAAGCACAGGAAATGTGATTCTTCGATTTCTTTATTCAAACATCTATTTTATGTTTATTTGACATATAGGAATCTTTCAGTTGCTATGTTTTGAGTGAATGAAGTGTGTACCTACTATATGCCAGGCTCTGTTGTGGTTGATATAATAGTATTATGAGGTAGAGGAGCATATAAAGTTTTTTCACTCTTATTGAGGCTAGTATTTTTTTAAAACTCAGTATGTAAAAAAATTCAAAATTATTGTTCATATTTTGTAAATGAGTTGAGTTTTAGTGCAAGTCAATTTAATCAAAGTCCAATAACCAAAAGTGTATATATAACAAAGTACTTAATTGTATGCTATTTTTTTATGACACATAATGAAGGATGTGAATGAAAATGGTTCAAGAAATAAAGGGAAAGTCATTCCAAATAGAAGAACAGCATGAAAAAAAGGAGTAAAGCGAGTATCGTATGGCTGGGCAGACGAACTAAAGCAGAAAAAGTTTATTTTAGAAGTTTCTTTATTTTAACAAAGACCAGTTGGACAGTTTATACATGTCAAGTACCGAGCTAGCTCTGTCCAGAAGCTACTCAGCGAGGAAGCATAAGTTACAGTACAGGTTGTCAGCATGTCTAGATTATGTTTACAGAGCACATAACAGCATCTACCCCTTTCTGAAGGGAAAGACAGTTTCATTTGAAATTCACATGATAGCACAAACCATGGTACTGGATCTGTTTTCTAAAGAGAAAGAGGACAGGGTGAGGGTTGCATCTTCCAGAATCACTACAGAAAGTAGGAAGCTAATGAGGGAACATTGAAGAGGGAAAAGGAAACAATGAATAACATTGAAGAGCCAGGGTTGGTCACGAATAGAGCGGGCAAATTAAGAATGAGGGAAAAAATTGAATTTGATAAGGGTAATCCCTGAAAAGCCTTCTAAATTGCCATTTTAAGAAAGTAGTGAAAAATGGAAACAAAATTGCAGTGTTGATCAGCAAAACAGTTGTTTTGAACAGATAAACTACCAACCATAAACCAAGGAATTACTGTATCTTTTATAGCTATGTAAAAGAACTGGGTAACCTGTTGCTCTTTTTTTTAAAAACCTAAAGATTAGTAACTTCTAGTAATTTGTTGAAAACTCAATCAAATATAACTTATGTAATGACTGCCATTTAACCATACAGACCATTTTGACTTTTTGTCAGAAACATAAAATATTTCTAGAATAGCATCTGACCCTTTGGTACAATGTTAGGACAAGAACTTTTTAGCTCCTTGACCACTTCTGATCATTTATCATATCACTGTGGCCAATTGTGGGGCTCTCTTTGTCATTGCAGGAAACCAAAGATAAACTCAAAGAAACAACAACAAAGTTAACTCAAGCAAAGGAAGAAGCAGATCAGATACGACAAAATTGTCAGGATATGATAAAAACCTATCAGGTATGCGTACCTTTTTAAATAGAATAGTAACTTTTTATACTAAACATCTGTACTTCTAAGTTACAATCATTGAGATGTATTTGTTAGGACAGTTATACCTAAAAGGTAGGTTATTTCCTAAGTTACAGTACCTGCAATGACTGTTAAAGAAGTTTTCAACCAAATAAAATTCCTACAAAGTGTCAAGGAATGAGAAATGTAAGGAAATATATAACTTTTTAAAAATAAAAAGAAACATCTCAATAGTAGTTATAAATCTTAAGTATACTATTTTTACTTTTGGAAAGTTGACATTTTAAATCTTTTGGTGCATTTTTCAATTTTTAGGTACATGAACTATATGTTTCACAGTTAGCAAACTTAGTTATAAAGTTTTCTTCACTTTTGAAGGTATAAAACTTAAGTTGACATTTTTTTATTTTCTTTCCACCAGGAATCAGAAGAAATTAAATCAAATGAGCTTGATGCAAAGCTTAGAGTTACAAAGGGAGAACTTGAAAAGCAAATGCAAGAAAAATCTGACCAACTAGAGGTGAGTATTTTTGCTCTTTTATCTATCTTAGATTGTGTAATAAATATATAAAGAATAAGTACTTGTTGCCACCTGCTTTTAAGGCATTTGGAAGCAGTAGGCAATATATTTTGGATCTGGCTTAGAGCATTATGATTTATGGTTTCTTTTAAAGATGCATCATGCCAAAATAAAAGAACTAGAAGACCTGAAGAGAACATTTAAGGAGGGTATGGATGAGCTACGAACTCTGAGAACAAAGGTAATGAAATCTTTAGTTAAGACTCTCATGGAAGGTTAAACATCTTTATCTGAAAATTTACCCTGTTTTTTTTAAAAAAATGATGGAGGAAGAATATGTATATAGAAAATTTCCACAGTAAAAAATAACCAAAAAACACAGAAAGACAATTCCTTAAGTAACTTGTTAAAAGTGTTTTCCATGATAGTCCTATTGAAGTTGAAGTGTTTATCAAGCATTCCTATTACAAAGCACATTTGTTCTATTTATAACTTGTACCTGTCATCTAAAGACAATCAGCAAATTAATTGGAACTGTCAGAATATAATATGGAGACTTTTTTTTACATTCTTCTGGGTATAATTAATAAACTAGATGCATACAGTTTCCATTTCTAATAGTCTAGTTATAACTCCTCTTCAGTGTTTACAGTTATTGTCAGAGTGCTATCCCTTTTAACCTGAACATATCACTGTGTATGACTGTATTATCATTTTGTATCATTTACTTATTTAGAAATAGGCTTTTAAATAACCATCTTGAATTTAAGATCACCTAATAATACTCAGAGTGGGTTTTTTATATATATAAATACTTCTCTATTTGTTCTTCATGTCATATTTTTAAGTTAAGTAGGGAAACTGTATTTGTCTTTTTTAGACAGGAAATGGAAATTCAGTAAAAATGAATGCCATGCTGAAACTACCATGATTAAATATGAAGCTGAACTTCAGGACTGTTGACTTTGTATTACATTTTCTTTATACTAGCACTGGTTTAGAATTCAGCTCAGATTGTTAATATGGAAGCACTATCTGAAATAGTTTTCAAGGAACAAGGAAAAACTTACAGTTTGACTTGGTTATGATCATTTAATAGGCAAAATGTCTAGAAGATGAACGATTAAGAACAGAAGATGAATTATCAAAATATAAGGAAATTATTAATCGCCAAAAAGCTGAAATTCAGAATTTATTGGACAAAGTGAAAATTGCAGATCAGATACAGGAGCAGCTTCAAAGGTATAAAATGAGAAATTTGTTTGTGTTGTTAAGCAGGCTTTTAAATTTTCATCCTGATTCTATTTTTAGATGCAATCATTGCACTAAACAAGAACAATTTTAAAACTGTGCTGTTCTAGTTAAAGTGTTTTAAATTTCTCTCTTCATTGAACTTTTTTTTTATTATCTTTGAGTTCTTATCCTATCTTTAAAAATCAAAGTTGTTATTTCCTAAAAGGTAACAGTAATTATAAGAAAGGATTTAGGCATCCGTGGCTTACACTTGTAATACCAGCTACTGAGGAGGCTGAGATCTGAGGATTACGGTTCAAAGCCAGCCCAGGCAGGAAAGTCCGTGAGACTCTTTTCTCCAATAAACCACTCAGAAAACAGAAGTGACGCTGTGTCTCAAGTGGTGGAGCACTTGCCTTGAGCTGAAGAGCTGAGCACCCAGGCCCCATGACCAACCCCCCCCCAAAAAAAAACAACAACAACAACAAAAAACACAAACACACACACAAAAAAAAGCAAAAGGAAAGGATCTTTATCTTTCAAATAGTACTTGATTTTTCTAAAAAGTAAATCTATACTTGTGTCCTGTATCTAGATCAAAATCTTCACATGCAACAATTAAGTTTATTAGCTAACATTATTCTTGACCTTCTCATAAATGGTTTAACTAAATTCCATTTATGACATGACTCACAAGACTTACGTTTAAATTTGAGTTCAAATAGTATCTCCTTTCTGTACTTTACCTATACTGAATGCTATTAAACAGTTATCATCTAGCCAGGTGCCTGGTGGCTCACACCTGTAATCCTAGCTACTCAGGAGGCTGAGATCTGAAGATCGCAGTTCAAAACCAGTCCAGGCAGGGCAGGAAAGGCCATGAGACTCTTATCTCCAATAAACCTCTCAGAAAACCAGAAGTGGCACTGTGGCTCAAGTGGTAGAGTACTTGCCTTGAGCTCAAGAGCTCAGAGACAGTGCTCAGGCCCACAGTTCAAGCCCATGACCAACAAAAAAAAAAAACAAAAAAAAATCTGTTGTGTTTTTAATTTTTATTGCTGGTATTAGGGCTTGAATGCAGGCCCTTGAGCTCTTGCTTGATAGTTTTATTTAAGGCTAGTGCTCTATTACTTGAGCCACATCTCTACTTCTCTATCTCTAAGATTGATACTGCTATAAATTCATGCTTGGCAACCTCAACTAGGAATATTAATAAACTTCTCATCCTGCCAGGTGTCCTTGGTCAGAGCTTTGTACCCTGTTTTTTTAGCCTCTCTTCCAAATCTTGCCACTTTCCTCACACTTTGTCTTTCTTTCCCTTTACCTCTCCATAAAGTGATGATTTCTTCTTTTTATTTTATTTTATTTTGGGGGGTCTGGTCGTGGGGCCTGAACTCTGGACCTGAGCGCTGACCCTCCGCTCCTCAAGGCTAGCGCTCTACCACTTGAACCACAGCGCCACTTCTGGGTTTTTTCTTTTTGCTTATGTGGTGGTGAGGAATCGAACCCAGGGCCTCAGGCATGCAAGGCAAGCGCTCTACCACTGAGCCACCTTCCCAGCCCAAGTGATTATTTCTTTATAGAAAAAAAAGGGGGGGAGTTATGGGAGGGAGCTATGAGGTAACTGTTCACTTTTTGTCGCCAGTCCTTTGAACATCTGCCACCATTCTTTCCTTTGCTTCTGTATCAAGGAATAAATGATCCTGCTCCTCTTCTTTCTGTTTCTGTGGACCCCATATTTTCCCATCTTTTCAGGCCTTTCTTGATTATCTCTTCTTTATCTTTTATCTCTATTGTCTCTCTTCTGACTTGCCTTTTTTTTCCTTACATTTAAATATGAGTGTACAGCACTGCTTTGCCTTTTGGCTAGTAAGATCAGGTATAAACATGAATCTGTCTTAAAAAAAAAAAAAAACAACTTCCAAACTTGAGACCTTCCCTATCAGTATATTTTTTGCCTTTTACAACCAAACTTCTAACTAGTATAATGTCTACACATTCTTTTTTTCTTTTCCTATCTTCTTTCCTTCCACTTTATTCTAGGTTCTCAGCATTCTATTAGCAGTGAATGCCACTGTAAGTATGATGAACACAGCTCCACCAGCCTTCCTTGAATTTTTAGCATCTTTGAACACCCCGGTCTTACCTGTCTTCATAGGCTCTGCTCCTTCGGTTTCATTTCCATCATGCTTTCTGCATATTACCTTTCTGGCATTCCTTCTGTGTCTTATTGGTGGTCTTCTCTTGCTCTGTCAGAAAGCCTCTTTCTGTTCCAATTTTTTTATACCCCTATTCCTGTATATGGGACAGGCTTTTTCATTATCATCAGCCCTTTTTACTTATAGCTGAAGGTACCAAAACACTTCAGACTTTAACCTGTTCAAATGAATTCCTTCTCCTGCCCACAGATATGTCTCCTCTCATGTTCAAGTATATTTATCCTACACCATCTCATTACCAGTAACTTAGTCCAAGCCATTGTCGGCTCTCATCTGGAAAACTGCCACCAGGCTTGTAAACTCACTTTTCTGCTTGCTTCATTTTCAAGCCATTTTGTATATTTATCATTAGCATAATGTTTAAAAGCATAGTTTCCTAAATTTTTTCAGTGATTTCCTATTGACACAGAAAGATTACCTGGTAAGTCCAAGCCTGCTTGTAATATTAATGACCTGTTTCTTGCTTCTTCTCTGCCTTTCCTTCTTCACCCTCATATTTCAGTTCAAGTCAGTTTATGGATTGTGCCAAGCCTTGTATGTTAAGTGTTAGGAATACAATATAATCCTAGTACCAAAAAGTCCTTTTCTTATTCCATTCCCAGCTCTTAGCACATACTCTTCCTGTTCCCGGAAACATAACTATTTTCCTTCTACCTCCTGCTTTTCACTTTGGTCAGAGATCAACAAAATATAGCCCATGAGCCAAATCAAGCTCATTCATGTTTTTTGTAAATGAAAATGTTTGGACTACATTCATTTATGTATAAATCTTGTCTTTGCTTTCACACTGGCACAACTTCAAAGTAAAACTGTTAAAACAAAATCCATATAGCCTAGAAGCCTAACTTATTTACTCTCTGGTCTTTTATAGGAAAAGGTCACTTTTATTAGTTTGAGAATTACCTACATAGTTTACGCAGCCTCATCTGTTTTCATCATCAAAAATGTTTTGCCACATTCCGGTAATTTCCCTGTTAAATACAGGCTCTTTGAAAGCAGGCATGGTGCCTGCCTTGCTCACTTACATTCCCTATTATACGTTAGGCATTCACAAATATTCGGATGAATAAAACATCTCTTTATAAATTATGTCATTAAACTAAAATTACCAAATCATTAACTTAATGTTTTTATAGCTTACCTTTTACATAAATACAAACATTGTTTTTTAGAGGTAAACAAGAAATTGAAAATTTGAAGGAAGAAGTGGAAAATCTTAATTCTTTGATAAATGACCTACAAAAAGACATCGAAGGCAGCAGGAAAAGAGAGTCTGAGCTACTACTGTTCACAGAAAAGCTCACTAGTAAGAATGCACAGCTTCAATCAGAATCCAATTCTTTGCAATCACAGGTTGATAAACTTTCCTGTAGTGAAAGTCAATTACAAAGCCAATGTGAACATGTGAAACAGACAAATACTAGTTTGGTAAGTATAAATGTGTATTTAACTCTTAAAAACAAAAAGAAGCACAGATTAAATTTTCCTAATAGCATAAAAGCATAGTAGTGTTAACTTACGTTCTTTTTTTCTTCCCACTGATGTAACTTAAAACTTTTCTCTACGTTATAAAGAAGAATACTTTTGAAAATAAAACCATGATTTCTGTCATTCCTAACTGAAATCACTAAGCATTTGTAATGCTATACTATAAATTTCTGAGTTTCTTAAATAGTTTAAAAAAGATCTAAGACACTTAAGTAATAAGAATGTCTTCAAATTGCTCATAAAAATAATTTGAATCCTTAAAATTCCAAAAATGGAGAGAACTTTTATCACATGATATTTTTGCATGTCTGGAATGGCATAACCGTTTAATATATTTCCCTGCTTTACTATATGAGGATTTGGAGGAGCTCAGTAAGCAAAACCTTACTGGTAAGGGATACTAATAGAAGAATCTCTACTATCAAGGAATTTAAATTTTTTTAATTTATTTTTTATTGTGAAAATACTGTACAGAGGAGTTACAATTACATGGGCAAGATAATGAGTACATTTCTTATCAAGCATTGTAGCCTCCTCCTTTGTTTCCCCTTCCCATCCCTTCCCATCCTTCCCCCCCCCTGCCCCTGCACCCAATCTTCCCCCCCCCCACGAAAGTTGTAAAGTTCATTTTCGACATAACAACTTGTACATCTCATTGTTGCAGTGGGTCCACCTGTATCCCTATTTAAATGATTTGTTTTTCCCCTTCCCCTCCACAAATTATACTGACATGAAATACAGTGAAAGCAGGGGTTTTACTGTGGGGGAGGAACATACAAAGGAATTTAAATTTTTAAGATTTTGTAACTGTGAGCAGTAGTGGAAACATACTGAAGTTGGTATGTTTTACTTTCATTTACCGTTCAGGAAAGTAGATTGCTCAAAGAAGAAGAACTGCGCAAAGAGGAAGTACAGATTCTACAAGCTGAACTCACTTGTAAAGAAACAGAAGTTAAAGGGCTGAGTACCCAGGTGGAAGAATTGAAAGATGAGCTAGTTACTCAGCGACGCAAACACGCCTCCAATATCAAGGATCTCACCAAGCAACTTCAGCAAGGTATGAAATTCTTTCACACTTAGACTGTTTTTCTTTTTAATCATCAACAATTGATAGAGCAAACATTTTATTTCAGGTTCTACCACATTGATTGGAGCTGTGTGTGTTCTTTTTGAGATAGGGTCTTGCCATATAGTCCAAGCCAGCCTCAAACTCACATCCTCCGGCCTCAAGCTTCCCAAGTTCTGGGCTTATAGCTAGATACCACCATGCCCAGCCCATTTGTTTTCTTAAAGCTGTTTGTTGTTCTTAGTATGTTAATATGCATATACCAGATTGTTATTATGTTAATATACATATACCAGATTGTTATTTCTTGCTGTTCCATGAATTATATTCTGTTTTAGCAATGCTTTTTCACAGAATTGCAGGTGTGGGAATTTGAAGAGGTTCTGATTATTGTTATCTAATCTGTTTTAGTCACTAATATCAATAAAAGTTATCTCAGTGTTTTTTTCCCCATTTGATATGCTTAAAATAGACGTAGAAAGTCTGTAGACCAAGAAAGGTTATAAATTATTCAACTAGAATTGGAGTCTGGGTTTCTTTTGCCTAGAAATTCATTCTTACTCTTGGGTATGTCTATGTGATTGTGATGCAATGATAAATAATACAGGCACTCCAAGTGTATTATTCCCCACTATTGTGTTTTAAAATAAGGTGCACTACAGTGGTAAGATTTACTACTTAATTTGAATATATACAGGTATTTTCTGAAAGAATTCAGGTTGTCTTTATACCTGTAATTGAAAGGATATTGGAGGAAAATTTCTGGTACTGGAAGGATCTTTTAAACTATTCAGGACTCAAAAGGTTGTTAAATTCATTGTAATTAATAATGCTAGTATCAGTTATCGTAATGTTGTTTATGTGTGTTTTGATGTGGCTGTAATCTTTACAGCCTTCTATCTAAGTGACTTTAGTAACTGAAATTAGATGGTGGGCCAAATGGACATGATAGCTGTCATCAGGAATCCATTTCTTTCCTGTAGCACGAAGAAAATTGGATCAGGTTGAGAATGGAAGCTATGATAAAGAAGTTAGCAGCATGGGAAGTCGGTCTAGTTCATCAGGTAAAAACTGTTACAGCTTTGGTTTTATAAAGTGTTGGTGTGCTTTTTTTTTTACTTTGGAGTTTAAAAAATAGAAGTTGTATATAATTGTATTATAAAAGTGTTAATGTTTAAATTCTAACCCTTATCCAAGGTTTCGTGTATGTCTTCTTACCTCCTCTGTTTTCCTTACCTGCCTCTCTCTGTTTTGTGAAACAACTTCCTCTTTCTATTTCTATAATTTAGATTTGTATAAACTTATAGAGAGATATGGTACATGTGTTTCTTTCCTTTTATGTTTTATCACCTAAGAAGTAATGAAATGTCTACCACTATATAGCATCAGATGTATCTATGTGTGTGTGTGTGTGTATATATATATATATATATATATATACATATATATATATATATATACACATATACATATACACACATTCACACACACACACATATTGCCTTCCTTTGGCACCTGCAGGCAAGTGGTTCCAGGGTCCCTGCTCCTTGGATACCCAAATCCACAGATGCTCGGGTCTCTTCTAAAATGGCATAGCATTTGCAGATTTTCCCATATACCTTAGCATCTCTAGATTATATAGTATAAATGCTCTCTTAAATAGTTGTTTACTGTATTAATTAGGGAATAGTAAAAGTTGATACATTCCTTAAAGGTACAATTTTTTCTGAATATTTTCATTTTGAGGGGGTTTGAATGAGGGGGGCTGTGGAGCTGATAGAGGAGCCAGCTGTGTGCACATGTGTGTGTGTGCACGTGTGTGTATGTGCATGTGTGTGTATGTGCATGTGTGTGTGCATGCATATATATGTATTTCATAGCCACTAGTGTGTGTGTGTGTTAGTGTGACTCACTGTCTTGTCTCCTAGGAGTTGCATATTAGGGGAAAAAATATCACTGTTAGAGCAGTGGAAAGAATGGGTAATAGAATAACATGGTTTTGAAATTCTTCTATGTCTTTGGACCCCAGCTATGCCATTTATTAGTTTGGATAAGATAGATTACTTGTCTTAAGTCTATAAACTGGTGTTGAAAAAAATCTATGTTTTTGTAAAGTGAAATAGAAATTCATCTCACTAATGTTGGTAAATAAGAGCTAGAATGAGAGCAGTGATTAACCAAAAGTTCATAGAAATGGAGAAAGAGAGCGCCTCAAAGAGTTACTGAGAGCTAAATTAATTGAATGTGGCCAGAAGGAGCAGTTGAAGGCACGCTGTAAAGAGGCAATTAAAGAAAAAGGACTAGGACACGTTACTGTTGATGACTTGGTGGCTGAAATCACTCCAAAAGGCAGAGCCCTGGTACCTGACAGTGTAAAGAAGGAACTCCTACGAAGAATAAGAACATTCCTTGCTCAGCATGCCAGTCTTTAAGGTTTAATTAGATTGTGTTGTCCTGTGGTTTTATTTCTAAAAACTTGCCATAAATTAGAACTCAGTCTCCTAAAACAAAATCTTTTTTTGATGAGGGTATACAGTTTTCAGTAATGATGTATATGCATTGTATTGATTTCCCTAAATGTGTTATTTTAATAAATATCTCATGAATAAGTTTGCAAAAAAAAAGAGAACATTGTATCTTCTACATATGCAGTTCTAAGTGCTTCACATATATTTTCTCATTTAAATGAGGATGATAAAATCCTATGAAGTAGGTTATGTTACTATTTCCATTTTAATCTGAAGAAAAGAGGGCAGTAAATAGTTTTGCAGAAGCATGTTTGCTGGTAAGTGGGGAAATGGGATTTGAACCCATTGGCCGGCTCCAGGCTTTTTCACTGTATTCTGTACTCTCTGTCTTGTATCCTCCTCTTCCTCCCTTTTTCTCCCTTTTTTAACAGTTTCTTTATTGTCACTCCCCCTTGCAGTCAGAATGAATATTTGAAACTTACTAGCAATGACCCTGAGTACTAAGCGATTGTTTTTGTCTTCAGGGTCCCTAAATGCTCGCAGCAGTGCCGAAGATCGATCTCCAGAAAATTCTGGGTCATCAGTAACTGTGGATAACTTTCCTGAAGTGGACAAGGCTATGTTGATTGAGAGGATAGTTAGGCTGCAGAAAGCACATGCTCGGAAAAATGAAAAGATAGAATTTATGGAAGACCACATCAAGCAGTTGGTAGAAGAAATTAGGAAAAAAACAAAGTATGTGTTATTATGGTAGTATAATATGGTTTCAAAAATTAATCAAGAACTAACCTTTCAAATATGTGTGTGGGGCTGGGAAGGTGGCTCAGTGGTAGAGTGCTTGCCTTGCATGCGAGGCCCTGGGTTCGATTCCTCAGCACCACATAAGCAAAAAGAAAAAAGCCGGAAGTGGCGCTGTGGCTCAAGTGGTAGAGCATTAGCCTTGAGCTGAAGAGCTGAGGGACAGCGCCCAGGCCCAGAGTTCAGGCCCCACAACCAGACCCCCCCAAAAAAATCAAATATGTGTGTGTGTGTGTATGTGTGTGTGTGTGTTTGGTTTGTGAGTTGTGTTTTTTTTTTTTCTTTTGAGATAGGGTCTTGTCTAAATATTGCCCAGGCTGGTCTTGAACTCCTGAGATTAAATAGTCCTCCCAACTTCACTTCCAAGTAGCTGCATCTAAAGGCACAAGCCTTCACACCTGGCTTAATCATTCTTGCAGTAATTCAGTTCACACCTTTTTTTCATCACCTATTATTATGTAGGTTTAGGGAGGTCTTCCTTTCAGTGATACAGAGTTTAGTAGATGTTAATTTTTTTAACATATTAAATAACTTTAGTTTGCTTAGCTTTTTATTTTCAACAATGACTTGCAGTTTTTCCCTATTCGGCAAGATTACCACACTTTTTAGGACTAGGACTGGAGATCCAAACCTAACTCTGACTAGAGTTTTCTGTTCCAAACTCTTCACACCGTACTCATTTAAATAAGATGCATTGATTGTTTTCATATTGCAAGTCTTTCCCTAAGCCTTTTAAGTATTTACTTTAATTCTAGTCTTACAGGAGTTTGCTTATGACTTTTGAAAGAAAGCAAAATACAGAGTTCTAAGTTAAATAATAGGATAGTAAAAAAATAGTAACAGAAATTAGAGTAATAATTTCCATAAAATATTTGGACATAAATAAATAGAAAAGCAGTATTTTTCTATGGATGATCTAAATACCACGTTAGAACAACAATGATATAACTAAAGAACCATCCAATAAGGAAAATTATTTCCTAACATAGGTTATTAGCCTGGTAGGTGTTTATGCTTATCAGTTTTAGTGCATCATTAATTTTTGCAAATCCCTTTGTTTTTATTCTGCAAGTACACAATTGATAGTGTGATTTGTTTTGCAGAATAATTCAGAGTTACATTTTACGAGAAGAATCAGGCACACTTTCTTCCGAAGCATCTGACTTTAACAAAGTGCACTTGAGTAGACGTGGAGGCATCATGGCATCTTTATACACATCCCATCCTGCTGACAGTGGCTTAACACTGGAACTCTCTTTGGAAATCAACCGAAAGTTACAGGCTGTTTTGGAGGATACATTACTAAAAAATATTACTTTGAAGGTATTTGTGTTTCTCATTCCCCTGCCTTTAGCAAACCTGGCAAAATGTGCTTCTCACATAGTGCTTAGACAAGCTCTTTTCTAGCAGTTTACCTAGTGATAAGATTTTAGTACGCTTTTTTTTTCTTTCAAAAAGTCCAGTTTTAAACTAAATCAGCCTAGTTAAACACTAAGATGAATTGTTTACTTTATAGTGGATGGCCTTTGACATACAATAACAGTTAATTACTGAAACAAAATTTTAATACAGTGGCATCTTAAATGTATTTTTGTCTATATTTCCTGTTTTGCAGCTCTTGTCCAGAGGTATTCTATTCTTGCTGCATATGGGTTTTGATAGTTAGAAATGAATTTAACAATAATTGAAAAATCTAGCACATAACCATATGTCCTAAAAATTGCTGTAGCTACAGTGCAAAAATTAAATATAACTTCACTAATACATCTATATGTCTAATGTCAGCATTTAGGATTAATCTTCACTCCTTCAGTTTCAAAATATTAGGCAAAAAACAATTCAAACTTAATCTTTTTACTATACTTAGTACTTCTGTTTTCTCTTCCCCTCCCCCAACTGCTAAAGGAAAATCTACAAACACTTGGAACAGAAATTGAACGTCTTATTAAACACCAGCATGAATTAGAACAGAAGATGAAGAAAACCTAATTCAAAGCTCTTGCTCAGCCCTCAGACAGAGCCACACAGCAGCAGGTGCCACTCACCAGTGTTGCTGGAAACTTTCCCTGCTTTGTGTGTCATCCAGTCACAAATTTGTTTTGCTTCATCTGTATAAAAGAGTACCCTTTTACAAATGGGTGCCTTGCTGTGTATGCTGTAAATACGTAAGCTTTGATGAAATCTGTTTTTATATGGTACAGTTCAACCACCCGTCACCGAATCTGAACACTTTGATTTGCCCAGAATCATGAAATGCTGAACATTACTATAAGGGCTTTAAAACAAAGAAACAAAAAACCCTTTATATATAGTTCTTCCCATTAAAGTACATTATGTCACAAATAACTGAACTTTTCAAAATTATGCATGAAGAGATCATTGACCATTATCTCCAATACCAAGAAAACTAAAGAAATATTTTTTTTCTGTTTTGCCTGGGTGTGGTGGTACGCACCTGTATTCCCAGCTACTTGGGAGGCTGAGGCAGGAGGATCCCTGGAGTTCAAGACAGGATTGTGCAACATACTGAGACCCCATCTGAAGGAGAAAAAAAAAAATCATGTTTTGAGACCCTGCTGTAGGGATGCATTTGAGTGCTTCAGTCTTTCTGTATTTGCTTTAATGAAAAGTAAAAGTAGGAAAGCAGCTATTAGTAACTCCCAGTGGTCAGCCATTTTACAATGTCTCCATCGGGTCTCTTTGTCTGCCTTAGGCACGGTTTTTGTTTTTTGTTTTTTTATTTCCCCGATTTGGATTGTTTGAGTTTAGTAGTTGAACTTTTTTAGTTACATTCTGCAGTGTGAAATGGATCCAGTCATTGGAACAGAAAGAAATACTTGTTTAGAACTGGGTACTACAGTTTTACTGACACTGTATGTATACAAAGAATCGTACGCGTCCTGGATGGCCCTTGCCCGTTACGCCAGTCACAGTGAGCTGCCACACTCTTCTTCCAAATGGGCTATGTCAGCTTATTTATATGAAGCAAAATAACATCTCTGTGACAAAGGAATTTTTAGCCAAACTTTGTATCTCGTTGGATTTTTTTTTTTACAATATTTATTTAAAGTATAGTGCCGATATTTCTGTTAGTGATTTTCTTTGGTACCTCTTATCATTTCTTGTCTTATTCTGATTTCATACTGCATTATTTTCAAATCATTTATGTAAAGCTTTGGCTTTCCAGCAAGTTCATTTTTGTTTTGGATTTTGTTATCCTTTTCCCCTTAAATGACTTTTGGGATGATGGGTTAAGAGCCTGGAAATAATTGTGTGGACTCATAGTGGCAATGTCCTTTTAATATGTTTTTAGTTTTTAAATCAATTTAGCAGTTTAAAAATATAATTTACTAAATATTAGAGGATTAAATGTAATCTTATTTTTCTCAATATTGCTGTATGTTACCTAAACTCATGTTTTTTAACTTCATAGTGAAAGTCTGTATTCATAGGTGTTTTTAAATAAGTGTAAAAAAGTATTAGTCTTAATATATCTTGCTTCTTTAACAATAATTTATCAAATTTAAAAATCAAGAGGGAAAGTGCAATAAAATATAATTTATTTTCCCGTTTGTTCCTAGATGTACTGTTAACACTCCAAAGGTCTACTTAGCATAGACACCTAACTAGATTTTTCTAGTGATACAGATTCAAAAACTACATTGGATTTTGTTTTTCTCCAAGGCATTAAACTTACCATGGAAATCAAATAATTGTCTATATACTTGAAAAAATATATGTTCCTTATTACTGACAAAATGGAGCATTCCAGTATATTTAAGCCACCATCTCCTTGGAGTCATTTAATGGTAAAACAATGTTAGAAGAAAATTATTGAATACCAAAATTTGATCATACGTTTCCTCCCTCCATGCCCCCCCCCCATAAATCTTACACTGTGAAAAGGTTCTGAAGGAAGGGCTTTAATGTTGGACTTCAGTATCCACTGGATCCATTTGGATTTAGGACAGAGCAGAACAATGTAAAACGAATGTGCGTGTATCAAAAATCAGCTCCAGATGTGAAGTTTTGAGTAACCTCTACCTGTTAACTATATTACATATACAGTGAGAGGAATGGATGTCTGGAAGTAGATAGACTTGTGGGAAAAGTTGTTTTTTTATGTTCCTTGTTGTGCACACTGAAGGTGGATTTTGTTAATATTTCGGAATCTTTAAGAGAGAAATTTCATTTGTATGTATATCCTTCCTAGGTTTGAATTTCAAAAAGTCTGGTAAAGCAGTTTCAGGGATTGAAAATGGTGGACTTGAAGGAGTTTAAACTTTTGATGGTAGTTTTTGGGGGGTGGTTTTGTTTTCTGTCTTCATAACCATTTATTCATGTAGGCTATTCATTTAATAAACATTCACTTAAGCAAAATGAAAAACTTACATTTCCAGGCACCAAAGAGGTAGTGTGGTTATGTTGACCAACAGACCAGACAGGGTTCTTTTTGTCCCTGGATTTGTAGTATAATGAAAATAGCTGGAGGCAAGAAGAGCAGATCTTTGGGCCACTGGCTTCTGCCAGCCATTCTTCTGGGCTTTGGAGGGGGTTTATCTATTTAGACTAGTAGGTGGCCCAGACTCTTCAGCCTGGCATGAAGCTGGAAACTTGAGTCCATGCTGAGGTAGACAAGTGCTTCCACACATCTCCCAACTCCTTTCATTGCTTAATGTTTATTCTGAAAGAAAGGAAACAATTCTGAAGATCATAAAGTAATACTAGGTTTTTACAGTGTAGTAAATTATTGATGTCTATTTGATACTCATATAGATGAATCATGCCATTATGTTTCCAAATGTTTTGCAGTATATTTTCTGGAGATTTTTTTACATGCATTTATTTAGACCAAAATTTACCAGTAGAAGAAAAATTCAAGTCATTAATATTGTAAACACTCTGGTGAACGTGGTTGTATAAGTTATGTTGTCATTCATGCTTTATAAAGTAGCCTCTTTTTCAATAACCATTGACACTAAGATTGTTAATTTTCCATACCAGTTGGTGGCGCCAGAAGCCAGAAAATTTTCCAGGCTAAACATGATATATAATGGAAAAAATGTCCAAACACAAATTAGGGGGAAATAAATGAAAAATGGAATTGCTTACTAGAACATATTTTCCTTGGAGTGGAATTATTTTTAAAATGCATATGTTTCTCCATTTTGACTGTGATCATGAAAACGTTTATCTTCCAGAGTACATATTTGTGTGCATTGTATAGATAATTTTTGATTACCCTGTTCATTTTGTAAATATGTTTCTGTATAAAATGATTCTTTTCAAGAAGATTCTGTGTATATAATATCTTATTAAATAGGTAATGCCTGTCTACCAACTTGTATTTTTATGGCATCTTATTGTTTACAACAACTACTTGCTGAACAGATCAGATAGTCTCCAGACTATGCACAAAGACTGCTTGAAATTGCTTGCATTTCTTTTTTAAACAAGACTTTTTGTTTTCCATGTTAAGTGGCATCATGATTAGTAAGTAATTAGTGATCATGACAGTAATAAGGAGATTTAAGTTGATACCAGGTTGCATTTTTAAGTTGTGATAGCAAAACTTGGCATTTTGTATGTATAAAGGGATGTGGAATTTTCTTATTGAATTACAACCCAGAAATGTATTCAGATTTTCCATAAAATGATGGTACTTACATTGTCTGGTTCTAATATCAAAGAACTAATTCACTCTGCTACAATACCATTTCATCAAGTTAACGAAAGTGATGGTTATTTCACATCACAAGGTGTCGTTTTCTATTGCTCTTAACACTAGTACATTTGATTATGTCACATTCCTTGACACTTGAATTATGCCACATTCCTTGACAGGGTTCATTTTTGCAAAGAATCCTCAAATCAAAGCTCATGGAATACAGGCAAAATTATCAGAGTAGAGAATATTTTCCTCGCATGCTTAATAGTCTGCCTTTCCAAGAGTCTGTGGATCTCTTTCTAAGAAAGAAATTCATAGGGACAGGGGTCAGGGGTGGAAAAAGATGCTAGCTATGGGTCGCTATTTTAGGCCCTACAGCAGGAGAGAATACTTGAACTCAGTACAAGTTATACATCTAAATTTAATTACAAACAGGGGCTTCATAGCACTTTCCTGTTAAGTGTGAGTCCTGAATAGATAGATGGTCAGTGTGACCTGAAGTCAGGACATGGGAAGGCCACTCCATTGAACTCCATCCACATCTGGCTTTTCTCAATAAAGATTCCCTGAGTTACAGAATGGTGCCCACTCCCATGGGCGGCAGCCAGGGAGGGCCCTCTGGCTGAATAAGGCTCATGGGGCTGTAGGAATTTTCTAGAACACTGCCTATCAAGATTGTCGGCCCTATAGTTGCTCTGGTACTTGCATATTCACAGTTAACCAATGATTTATACTCTTGAAAGAAAAAAACTGGGTGACAAAGCATAGATGAAGTAGAATTCCCAGGTGCCTTTTAAAAACTGGAGTATCAAATCTCACAAAGGTGTTCTCTGGTTGAAAGGGCTCATGCTAGGAACTTGTATAGTTGCAATATAAGTGTTGCTAGTGCTTTATAAAGAGCCTACTCTGCCCACAGTTACAGCACAAATCTCACTTCTGCCACAACTTGTCAGGTTAGGGAAATATTCTCTTTCTAGCCTACCTCCTCATATACTGTGAACATACAGATGTAGGCTATTGGCCTTTAGACTCATTGATACATTTCTTACATAATGTTCTGTAGGCATTCCTTATGCCAGAAGTTTTTTATAAACCAGACTAGAAGTGCACTAACAAAGTTGTATATATTAATGCATATACACTTAATTTTAAAGAGGGAATTGTAAAAAGATACATAATGGTTACTGGTGTGGGGAGACAGGAAGGAGGAACAACTTATTTTTAACATACTATTGTGGAGGAGTTAAAAGCCTGCCCTAATATTTTTTTATTTTTACTTATCTATTTTTTGTTGTGGGACTTGAACTCGGCCTGGGCGCTGTCCCTCGGCTCTTCAGCTCAGGGCTAGTGCTCTATCACTTGAGTCACAGCGCTACTTCAGATTTTCTGAGTGGTTTATTGGAGATAGTCTCACAGACTTTCGTGCCTGTGCTGTCTTTGAACCGTGATCCTCAGATCTCAGCCTCCTGAGTAGCTAGGATTACAGATGTGAGCTACTGGTGCCTGGCTTTCTAATATTTTTTAAAGAGTATTTTCATGTACTATGTAATTTAAACTTGAGTTTCATGAAAGGTTTTATTTAAGCTACTCCATCTTAGGAAACCATTCTTGCATATTTCTTTAGATTAACCTTGGTTTTCAGATACTCAACAAATACAGAGCAAGAGTCATGGTCTCTGGAAATGAGAAGCAGAAATGATGCTAATGGAGGGCGGAGAGGGAGTGGGTAAAGGTCAAGTTCAAATACAAGTGAGGTCTGAAGGGCCATGGCTCTCAGCTCTAGGACAGCTATCTACTGGATACACCACATAGCACTCTGGGAAATTCTGGGTACATGTTCTCAGCATAAGTAGCTCTGTACATGGACATGGTTCCTCCTTAAAGTTGCTATTATGTGTCTGATAAGTTTGCCCAATGCTATATTTACTTTGAAAGTAAACTAGTATTTAGGAGCTATTCTGGTCAAAAATTAAAACACACTGTATTGCTGTTGTATTAAGAATGTTTGTTTTCATTTGGGTAATAGGAACACAACAAACATCAAGAGGGACAGAGAATCCCTCTTAACCACCTGCTTTTAGTGAGGCGAGGCTCAGACCACCCTATGAGAGAAAGACAAAGCTTGAAATTACTTTCCCACCATCTTATTTCTAGACATTTATGGAGCTGAGATTTGAACTCAGATTGGAGGTACTCTTCATTATCTTCTGCTGTCCCTCCTAAGTCAAAAGTTCTAATACTGTTAGCAAGTACATTAAAGTCCTAGATTCCTTTTTTTTTTTCTTTCTTTCTTTGGTGCTGGGGCTTGAACTCTAGGTCTGGGCACTGTCCCTGAGCTTCTTTATGCTCAAGGGGAGCACTCTACCACTTGAGCCACAGCACCACTTCCAGCTTTTTATTTTTTTTTTTTTTTGAGTAGTTTATTGGAGATGAGAGTCTCATGGACTTTTCTGCCCAGGTTGGCTTTGAACCATAATTCTCAGATCTCAGCCTCCTGAGTAGCTAGGATTACAGACGTGAGCCTTCTGGCACCAGGCTCTAGATTCCTTTTGTCCCTATGGTTTGGAGAAAAAGACTAATCAGTTTTAAGAAAGCATGGTCCTGAGTGTGTGATGAACCATTCTTAATTGAAGACTTGATGTCTCTGTTCACAGCTGATTTGTCTTTTGAATGAGCTCTTCCTCAGTGAAAGAAGGGAAATAAAATCAGCCAATGTTACTGTTAAACTCCATGTGGATGTGTTGATAAAGCACATGATAATTTTCCTGACAGTCTTGGTCTAAAGACTTTGTACTTCATTAAAGTCCAACTTCCCTGCTTCCAAGCCCTGAGGATGATAGACGAGACCCTTCCCTGCCTTGTCCAAGGCTAGCCACCAAGTACTGTGGAATGCTCTGGACCTGAACTTGGAAGACCGCCTTGCCATTATTGTGACACTTTAAACAAGTTATTTTTCCCTCTTGGAGTTTCAGTATTGATGAGAAGATTAAGATGCTGAAACCTACCTTGCAGAACAGATGTGTGGCTTAATTAGAATAATGCACAGGAGGGCTGGGAAGGTGGCTCAGTGGTAGAGCACTTGGCCCTGGGTTCGATTTCTGAAGCACCACATAAGCAGGAAAAAAAAAAAAGCCGGAAGTGGCGCTGTGGCTCAAGTGGTAGAGCCGCTAGCCTTGAGCTGAAGAGCTGAGGGACAGCGTCCAGGCCCAGAGTTCAGGCCCCACGACTGGACCAAAAAAAAAAAAAAGAATAATGCACAGGAAACAAAACTTTGAAAATGGCAGCATTAGAACTTCAACTTAAGACATTGCTTTTTAAAATAATTTAAAACATTGAAGAGTTCACATATATGTGCATTATAGAAATTGCTATTTCAAGGCGTAACTTCTATAGCAAAGTAAAAATGCTGTGATGTGTTGTATATGTGTGACAACAGAGAGAGCTCGGAAAGCGTATGCATTTATATCTGAAAAGATCCTAGGCAATTTTGATTCCTTTGGAAAGGAAGCAACCTTTGAAAGGGAGCAACCCTCTCATAAGCACCTACACATACACACACACACACACACACACACACACACACACACACGCCCCACAAGATCTACAATCCCATTCTTGTCTTAGACTTTTATTTGACTTTCCAATAGCTACCTAGAGACACCTGCACCCTAATCCCACTCCTGCAGGTGGATTGGTGGGGCCAGCAGCTGGATCCGAAGAGTAAAAACAAGAAGAATGAAAGCACCTCTTACAAAGCCCTGAGTGTCAGTAGGGGGGACAGCCAGATGGCTGGAGCTCTTTAATTAGTTATTGTTTGATATTCTCATCCAGTCCTCAGGGCCTGGTTTTTTGTATTCCCACCATGAGTGGTTTTACCCATCCGTAGGAGTGGGGAAGGAAAGGGACAAAAAGCATACTCTAGGCAACAAGATCTGTACTAATTCCAGCCAAAGGGAGATGACGGCTTCCTACAGTCTCCCTTGGTAAAGAAGTTTAGGTGTCATTGCATCTCCAGTTGACCTTTTGTAGTATACAAATAAGGCAAGCCAATCAAGAACACAGGCAGGTAGCTGACATCTCCATATATGTTATGCAGCATGTAGTTGGCATTCTCTCTCTCCCTCTTTTTTTTTTTTGTTGGCATGGAGCCTGAACTCTGGACCTGGGTGCTATCCCTCAGCTCCTCAGCTCAAGGCTGGCGCTCTACCACTTGACCCACAGCACCACTTCTGGCTTTTTCTGCTTATTTGGTGCGGAAGAATTAAACCCAGGGCTTCATGCATGCAAGGTAAGCACTCTACCACTGAGCCACCTTCCCAGCCAGTAGTTGGCATTCTCTTAAATTTAATAAGCTTCATTGTCAGTATTTTACTTAGGCTTTGTGTTCCTTTCAAAGCAATTGAGAAGGCACAAACACTGACAATTTATAATCTGAGAGAGTTTAGACTCATTGCTGCCACTAAGATTTGGCTGTTATGCTCAGCAAGGTATACATGCAGATATTTTCGATCCTTTTTGGATTTTTCTGTTTGCTTGTGGATTCTTTTGTACAGTGTCATAATGTGGTTTTGAAAACATTTTAGTGGTTTCCCTAGTTTACAGACATGTTTAAAATATGAAATGATTTGTGTCAGTACCATGCTTAGATATACTTCTGTGAGTGTCTCAA